TGATGATGCTGATGATGATGCTGATGCTGATGCTGATGCTGATGCTGATGATGATGATGATGATGATGATGATGATGATGATGCTGATGATGATGATGATGATGATGAATATGATGATGATGATGATGATGCTGCTGCTGCTGCTGCTGCTGCTGATGATGATGATGATGATGATGATGATGATGATGATGATGATGATGAGGAGGAGGAGGAGGAGGAGGAGGAGGAGGAGGAGGAGGAGGAGGAGGAGGAGGAGAGGAGGATGAGGATGAGGAGGAGGGGGGTAGGGGAGGGCGGGGTGGGCGGAGCAGGCTGGATAAGGGAGGAGGGAGAAGATCAGGATGGGAAGTTGGGGATGAGGAGGTTTAGAGGGACTGGATGGGGGATGCAGGAGACTCCTACACCTGCTGATTGGGGTTCAGCTTTCTGGGGGTCATGGGGCATTGTGCTTCTTTCCCGTCTTCCTTCGCCACAGGCATTGCTCTCTATCAGAATGTACGTTTTCCTTGGACATTTCTGTGGCATTTCCTTCGAAGTACCCCGTCCAGAGCATTTTTCGGCCAGAGTGCATTATCATCGCCCTTTCCTTTGCTCTCCTTGACCCCAGAAGCATGAGCCCCGCCAGCGGACGAACCATGGGTCTGAGGAGGGGCCGACGCCAGTGGGCGGTTTCCGGAACCCATTGCTCAGAACAAGTCCACACCTCGGGGGGACAGCCTTGATTTCCGCTGGCGTCCGCTGGCCCTCCGCCTCGCTTATGGTAGCACGACGGCTTGTAGCTGGCACCCGGGGCGTCGCGGCGCCAGCGCCCTGGGCTGGGCACCTCTGGCGGCACTGTCCCCCGGCCGCCCCGCGGTGTGCCCCGTTCGCTCCAGCCCGCGGCGCTCCGTCGGGGCGCGGAGGAGGCCACGAGTCGAGGGAAGAAAAGGCGACGACCACGGCCAAGGATGTCGATTCCTAGGGAGTCTTCTTGGGATTCCCAGGGATTCCTAGGGAGTCGCAGGGTCTCGTGAACGCCGACTTTGGTCATGGCCCACGCCGTCCGTCGCCGATTCGCGAGGATGCTCCGAGGACTGACCTTGACCAAGACGGGCCGTGACCAGGATCGGCATCGCCGTTTCCGCGTTCGGCCCCTCCTTTCTTCCAGGGAGGGGCTGGATGGGGAGAGGCGGGGCCCGTTTCGATCCGATCGGTCCGAGTCGCTGTCGATATGTCGGCCAGCCCGATCCGACTCGACTCGGGTGCTCTGGCGATCCGTGCGACCGCACGGCGCTGTGGTGGGTTTATGGCGCAGCCGGTCAGATCTGATGTCGGCTCCGTGCCAGAGCGGCCCGATCCGGCGCACGCTCCGATCCGAGGCCGACGGGGTGAGGAGGGCGGAGGTCTGGACAGGAAAGGGGGGGAAGAGGAGGTGGGAGGGTTCCCTCTCCTCCGACGTTGCAGTTTTTTGGTGACGTGTATCCGGAGATGGGGTTCTTGTCATGACTTGGACGCCTCTGGCTCCTCATGCCTTCCTCCTCCTCCTCCTCCTCCTCCTCCTCCTCCTTGTTCCCCATATCCTGAGATGGGGCATCCTTCACACTCAGACTCACTCATACTCAGACACTCGTATACTCAGATCACTCAAACACTCACGCACATTCAGACTCGCTCACACTCAGACCCACTCACTCTCACACTGAATCTCGCTCAGACAGACGAACTCACACTCAGACTTAATCACGCTCAGACTCACTCACACTCAGACACACTCATACTCGGACAGAGTCATACTCAGAGTCATTGACACTCAGAGTAACTCACACTCAGACTAACTCACACTCAGACTAAATAACACTCAGACTCACTCGCACTCAGACTCACCTACCCTCATACTCACTCATATTCAGACTCACTCGTACTCAGGCTCATTCGTAATCAGACACATACTCATCGTATTCATACTTAGACTCACACAGACTGTTCCATATTCTGACCCACTCGTAATCAGTCACATTCATGCTCAGACCCACTCACACTCATATTCAATCACACCCAGTCACCGCGTTCCTCCTTCATCCTCTTCCCCCATTTCCTCCTCCTATCAATACCTCCGCCCTCCGCATGTCAATCTGTTCGGCACACCCTCGCACGCTTCGTGGCCCTTTTGAGATCCGCCGAAGGCTCCAGTGGCAAAGTCGTCATGCGTATCCCCCACCCACCACAGCGTTTCGTGGCCCATACGGAGATCCACCGAAGGCCCCTTTGGGAAAGTCCACATGCGTCTCCCCCACCCAGTACAGCGTTTCGTGGTCCATAGGGAGCTCCACCGAAGGCTCCAGTGGCAAAGTTCGCATGCGTCTTCCCCCACCCGGCACAGCGTTTCGTGGCACATAGGGAGCTCCACCGAAGGCTCCAGTGGCAAAGTTCGCATGCGTCTTCCCCCACCCAGTACAGCGTTTCGCGGCCCATAGGGAGGTCCACCGAAGGCCCCAGTGGCAAAATTCGCATGCGTCTCCCCCACCCAGTACAACGTTTCGTGGCCCATAGGGAGCTCCACCGAAGACGATACCCACAAGTGCAGTATTCACAATTGCAGATGGTTGGGCCCTTCGCCCCGTTCATTTTCCCCATGTCTGAAGATGGGGTTCTTGTTATTCGTCAGACGCCTACGGACCTCCTCCTCCTTCTCCGCCCCCTCCTCTTCTTCATTTACGATTCAGATACTCAGACTCAGACCAGTCACACCCATGACAGGGTCCATCACAGAGCCAGTACTCTTCGCGGGGTCCTCTACGGAGTCACTCTTCCTCACGCAGACTCACCCACATCATCTCCTCATTCTCATTCAGACTCGCTCAGACTCAGACTCACTCAGACTCATTTAGACTCCCTCAGGGAATCAGCCTCAGGTGCACTCACACTCGTACGTATTAAGACGCTCACGCTCCGACATTCTCTTCCTGACCCAGACTCACTCAAACTTCGCTGGTGGTCCACTATTCACCATGATATAGCAGCGTGGCATTTTGGCACCCCAAGGGGGGCCGCCAGTGGTGGGAGCACTCCTGGTCTCGCGCCCACATTGGGGGATGTCTCCCGCGGTCTGTTTGTTTCTGCCCCCTCTGGACCCCTCTTCTGGGTGGTCCATTGCTCACCGCGATCCAGCAGGCGTTGAATTGAGGCACCCCGAGGTGGAGCCGCCAGGGGTGGGGACCAGGCGGTTTGCTTGTTTATGCCCCCCAGACTTTGCCTCTTCTGGTGGTCCGCCGCAGGCCCGTGGCCCTTCGGCAAGCCTTCGAGGCCTTCTCCCAGGGCGCAGGCAGCGACTCAGACCGCCCGGGAGCTTCCGCGAAGCCCCGCCGCCTGCTTGAAGGGCGTGCCCCGTCTCGCCTCCCCCCTCGGTCCGCCGCCGAGGGGCCGGGGGAACGAGGGGAGGGGTCCCAGGGCGACGGCGATGGCGACGGCGAGGGCGACGGCGACGGCGACGACGACGACGACGACGAGCACAGAGGCCCTGTGGCGCGGGCGCCCAGGGCGGTGGGCGACCCGCGGCCCGCAGGGAGGGGCCACTGATTCGCCGCCGGGTGGTCTGTCTCGAAGGGGGAAGCGTCTCGGGGGCAACAGTGGGGGGTGGTAGGCTCAGGGGTGAGGTTCGGGATTCTAGTCTCGAGGTTTCCTGACGTTTCCGTCGGTTCCCGGCGGTCTTCCGGCCTCGGGATGCTCTCCAGCGGCTGTGCCTCGCCGAGGGAGTTCCAGGGGTGCCCAGATCGTCCCGAGCGGTCGCCAGAGGCCAGAGGCCTGCGTTGCCCCGTGTGCCGGCCGCGCGCGGCCTGCTGGCCGCCCCACCACGGCCTCACTGTGTGGCCTCCTCCTCCTCCTCCTCCTCCTCCTCCTCCTCCCTCCTCCTCCTCCTCCTCCTCCTCCTCCTCCTCCCCCTCCTCTCCTCCTCCTCCTCCTCCTCCTCCTCCTCCTCCTCCTCCTCCTCCTCCTCCTCCCTCCTCCTCCTCCTCCTCCTCCTCCTCCTCCTCCTCCTCTCCTCCTCCTCCTCCCCCCCTTCTCCCCTCCCCCTCCTCCTCCTCCTCCTCCTCCTCCTCCTCCTCCTCCTCCTCCTCCTCCTCCTCCTCCTCCTCCTCCTCCTCCTCCCCCTCCTCCTCCTCCTCCTCCTCCTCCTCCTCCTCCTCCTCCTCCTCCTCCTCCTCCTCCTCCTCCTCCTCCTCCTCCTCCTCCTCCTCCTCCTCCTCCTCCTCCTCCTCCTCCTCTCCCCCTTCCCAGGGATCCCTCGAGGGGAGGATGCATCGACCACCGCTCGCCCATCGATCGCCGACCGGGGGCTCGAGAGGGCCTGCCCCGCCTGGGAGCGTGCGGCTTCGCCCTCGGCGACCCGTCGCCGGTCTGTCGCTGGCTCCAAGCTGCTGCTTGCCTCCCTGAGCGGGTCCCCCCTTAACTCAGGATGGACAAAAACACACAGACACATTGAATCGTCGGTTCCCAGAACATATGCGGAAATATGGGAAGTGTGGGGGAGGACAGAAACTCAGAAAATATGGAAAATATGGGGAATCCTGTTATTTGCGTGTATGTATTTGTGTGTCCCAGGGCCCCTCTTCAAAGCTGCTGCTTCCCTCCCTGAGCTGGTCCCCCCTAACGTTAAGTCGGGCACGTCCCTCCTCTACAGGAGGGATGTTCAAACATTGCCAATGAGGAGGACTTTTTGACTATTTCTGGCCATCCTGTGTATTTTTATGACTGATTATGTTTAGAATGTTCGTCCAAAATCCGCCTGTAGGGGGACACGCCCGACCTAACCCGTAACGAGCCCCCTCACCTCCAGATGGTCTCGAAGAAACGAGACAGCTGCGTAAACTCGAACTTCTGCAGGTCCGCGCGGAGTTCTCGGGTCGGCGCTGGATCCTGCGCCGCGGAGGGGGAGTCAGCGCCGACCCAGGAAGGCCGCGCGCACCTCCGACAGCTTGTGGTCACGGAGATCTTTCTCCCGCGCGCGTGGTCGGGGAGCGCAGGAACACCTCTGCGCGAAGTTCGAGGGGGACCTGCTGCCGGGCGTGGTCTTTGCGCGCTCCGATGGCGGCCACTTGTCGTCGTCGTCGTCGTCGTCGTCGTCGTCGTCGTCGTCGTCGATCGTCGTCGTCGCAGAGTTCTGGGCACGGCCGACTAACAGGGTACACCACGGCAGACCAGCGGGGCAGACCGCAGCATCACGGCAGACCCGTGCGGCAGACCACAGCCACAGGGCAGACCAGCACGGCAGAACGTCTGGCTTTAGGCCCCAACAGCTTCAGCTTCAGCACTGCAGAATACAGCATGGCAGAACATACCAGCATGGCAGACCAGCACGGCAGACCACACCAACACGGCAGATGAGCACCGCAGATCACAGCAGCAAGGCAGACGCCGGCGCATCGCACAGCACGGCAGACCAGCATGGCAGACCACAGGAGCACGGTAGACCAATGTTGCAGACCAGCACGGCTGGCCGGAGGAACACGGAACACCAGTATTGCAGACCGCAAGCAGCACAGCAGACCACAGCAGTATGCCATTGCACAGCAGACACATCCGTAGCCATTTTGGCTCAAGCCAGCCTCGTATTGCTGGTGCCATTTCCCTGGCCTGCGCCGCGATGGCGGGAGTGCGCTAGGCGGAGGTCTTTGGGTGCGGGGGGCTGCCAGTCAAGTGGCGGCCCGCAGGCCTCAGGGAGGCCGGGCTCGGCGCCCTTGGCCCCTCGGCGGCGCGTCGCGCGGCCCGCGGCCAGCGGCTGGCTGCCCTGGAGGCGGGGAGCCGCGCGGGGGCGAGGCCCTAGCCGCCTGGCTCGTGGCAAGACCGCGAGCAGGCCGCGCGACTGGCGCTGCGGCGGGCTGCCACGGGCCTGAGGGTCGCAGGGCGCCCTCACATGCTCACAAGCGGCGCAATGCGGCGCTGCACACAGCCGCGCCTCCTCCGCGAGGGTTTGCGCGGGTAACCGACGCGGAGATCGCCGCGGTGGCTGCTGGGCCGCGCCTGGAGGCCCTGGCAGGCCAGGCTGGCGCTCCTGGTAGCAATGCCGTGTTCGGCGACGGCGGCGGCGGCGGCGGCGGCGGCGGCCAGTTTGGGGCCGACGAGGCTGGCGAGGGGACCCTGGTGGAGGGGACCCTGGTGGAGGGTGTCGTGGCACTCTGTCGACCCGCGGGCGGAGGCAGAGGCCTTTGTCCAAAGCCTGGCGGCGGGCCGGCGCACGGCGGTCGCAGAGGCCGAGGCCGAGCTCGAGGCCGTGCGCTCCACGCACTCATTCCTCGTCTCGGAGCTGGCGCGCCACAGGACGCGCCCAGGCCAGCCTCTAAGCTCGGCGGCCTCAGCAGCCTGGACCAGCGCTGCGCGGGCATCAGGGAGGGGCGTGGCTGCTCCGTGCGCCGCCTGCGTTGCGCCTGGCGGGGCTCATGCAGTGCTGGGCCGCCCAGATTCAGGCCCATGCCGCCTTTGGTGCACAGGTCCTGGGCGTGGCCCATTCGTTCACGACCCTGCTCGACGAGCTCGGTGAGTTCGACGAGTTCGACCTCCAGAGGCACTGTGATGACGATCACGAGGAGGGAGTGGTCGACGGTGCCGCTGAAGGTCCTGGTGATCCTGGAGGAGACGCCACGGTGTGTCGTGGCTCGCACGGCGGAGCCGCCCGTCGCGCGGGCGCGGCGCGTGGCGACGCCGACGATGCTGCGCTGGCTGAGGCGTCTGCTGTCGCGACTCAGGAGTGCATGAAGCTGGAGGCCGCCGAGCCCGACGTCCAGAAGTACGGCGACGACGATCACGAGGAAGCAGTGGCCGCTGGTGAGGCTGCATGACCTGGTGGTCCTGGATGGGGTCGCTGCGGAACGTCGTGGCTCGCACGAGGACGTGCCAGTCGAGGCGAAGGCCGACGCGGCTCAGGATCGCATGCAGCCAGAGGTCGAGCAGCTCCGCAGGGACGTGGCGCCCCATGCTGCCGCGGAGGGGCTTGGCGTGGGGCGTGTGTCAGCGCGCGCCAGCTGCGGGCTGCGAGGCGCGGGCCCCGCCTCGGCCCGCGGCGGCCAGCAGCGTCGGCAGTCGTGTGCGAGGTCGAGGTCTGCCTGGCCGAGCCTGTGCGGGGGCTCGGCAGGCCAGCGGCCAGGCCGATCGGAGCCGCCGTCGGCAGGGCCCCCCTGGAGTGGGACAGCTGCCGGAGCCTGCCGCCGAGCGCCCAGCCCAGGGGTGCGGGCGGGGCCTGGCCGCGGGCTGGCAGCTCGCCAAGCTGGAGGCCGCCGCGCGGGGCCACCAGCGTGAGGCCGCGGTCCTGCTCTGGGCCCTTGGCGCGGAGTCCGTCGCTCATCAGAGGCGTAATTTTCCCATCCTTGCTTGAAATAAGTTGTGGGTGGAAGAAAAAACACGATGTCCGCCTGGGCCCCCGTCGGAGGAGCGGAAATGCGAGCGCACTGGCGCGCGCGGTCGCGCGCGATAGTAACGTGAATGCGCGGGCGTCGCGGTGACGACGACGGCGACGGCGACGACGACGGCGTATGCGCCGACGGTGGCGACGACGGCGGCAACGGCGACGGCGGCGAAGACGAACGTCGCGGCGACGGCGGCGACAGGGCCTGGGCCCACAGGCGAACTTGCGACCCGCCCTCGTTCCTGGAGTCCCGCGCCAGATTTGATGGGAGGAGCGAAATGTTTCTGCGCAGTTCTATCCCAGCCGTCTCTCCGCTTTACTAAAGCTCTCTTTTTGCTTTAGCGAGACGTCGTTTTTTCTGAATGGAATAAGCGATGCGCCTTTGAGAAAGCCGCTTCTTCGCTTTAGTGAAGCCGTGTCGTCGCTTTAGTAAAGCCACTTCTTCGCTTTGGCGAAGCCGTTTCTTCGCTTGGGTAAATTCCGCGGTTTGCCTTCGTAGAGCCCTGGGGGTGGGGGGCAAGGGCCCAGTCGGTGGGCGGGGGGCCCCTCTCTTCCCTGCCAGTTCGCCCCGCGATGCATTCGCTCGAGTAAAATGAGGGTCGCGGTACATCGGATCGCGGCGATCCTTGGGCACGTTTTCATCAGCGATTCGTAGTCCTCGACAGGAGATTCAGGGCGCGAGCGCAGGACGTGGCTCGGCAATTCGGACGCGCCGCCGCGGTTGTCGCGCAACAGAGCCACAGCACTTTACTAGAAGGCTTGTCTCCTTTCGCTAATAGCTCCTTCGAAGTAATCGTGAGAACTTTCCGCTTCCAGGCTGCGGAGCCGCGGCAGGCAGGCGCGGAGGCATCCGTCGATGGGGGCGCGCGCGGCGAGTTCGGCCCCTGGGAGCACAAGCCCCGCGAAATGGCCTCCCCGCCCTTGGGGCGCGAGGGGCAAGATGGCTGTGAACAGCATGACGGAGTCCCCTGGCTTGGCAGGCGCGTCCGCTTCGGGCTGGCCGACGTCGTCGAGGTCGTGAGCCTCTGCTACGTTGGGCGGTGGTGCGGATTCGACGGCGACTCAGACAGCGAACCAGAAGAGTTGGACGAGTTCGCTCGCCGCTCCGATCAGGTGGTGACGGAGGAACGTCGGCATTGCGAAAAGCGTACCGCGCGCGACCTTCCTTTCCCCCCCTCGCCGCCGTACGCCTTCGTCGGCGGCTTCCTGGGCTTTCAGTCGAAGGGAGTCTGTGCGGACCGCTTTGCCGACGAGAGCCACGGGTCCGAGGTCATCGACGCGGAACACGGCGTCTACGGCGAGGAGCCAGAGCAGCACGACGGGGATGCGCAGCTGAGGCGCGCAGAGAATCCCGAGCTGCGGTGCTGCCCACGCGGCGTCGCTCGGGATCCCCGTTCTGGACGGGGAGATGGGCATGACCTCCGAGGAGGCGAAGGTGCTCGCGGGAGCCAGAGCGGCCTCCGAGGCTTTCGGGCGTGGCGCCCTCGCCGAGGGTCGTCGGCTGCTGGGGGCAGCGGGCGCCAACGTGCCGTGAGGCCTCTGTGGCGGGGATTCTCACACATGTGTGATTGAGTGGATCTGCTCCCCACGCCCGTGCAGAGCATCAGAGGCTTTGCAGTTGATTGCGCCGCCTCCTGTACTCTGTTGCCGGCGCGCGACGTGCGCCAGCCCGCACAGTAAGGATGAGCAACTTTCCAAGGTTGCCCTTGCACTTCCCCTTCGGCCCATCCTTGGCCGCTGTCGCTGGCCGCGCCCCGCTCGCAAAGTGCCGACGCGGCCTTCCAAGGCCCTTGCGTCCTTATCGTGCGTCTTTAAGAATAGTTGAGGCTTGCATCAGTAGTGGTTGGCTCTCACGTTCTTTTCCGTTCTGACCTCGTAGGTCCAGTGATGTGTTTTCCTCGCGTTCGTGCAGTTGTCTGCCGTGTTACTCGTTGTCGAGGCCTCCTGGATTGGAAAGGTTTGGAGGGAGTTGTTCGGCCATTGGGCCGAGGATGTGAGCGAGGCTGCCTGGAGGGTGAGCGCCCTGCACGCAAAGTGAGTGAAGGATTCCCCTCTGTTTGCGCGACAGGTGCCTTCCCTTCGTGACCGGGGCGCGCCCGTCTGGAGCCTTCCCCCTTGCACCGGGGCGTGCCCAGAATTCGAGGGCGGGCGTCGATGCTGGTCGGCAGCAGCTTCCAGGTGGGAGCCATGCCTCGCTCACGAGTTGCAGTGCTCCGTTCGGAGCTCGGGATCGGTGAGGGTCCTGCCCTTTGTGGGCTCTGTGGGCCGCCCCTCCCCCCTGCTTGTTGGAAAGGGCTAGCCAGTTTTTTTTTGCTTGTTTTTTGTATCATTTTTTTGGTTCTCCCATTTTTTTTTTTTTTTCTCTCTCTCTCTCTCTCTCTCTCTCTCTCTCTCCCCAAAAACAAAAAACGCATTTATTTTTTTGTTGCTTGCAGGGCCCCGTATGCTGTTCCATTTCAGCACAGAGAGACACAGGGACCACGCTCCGACAAGTACACGCACATGAAACCAATACCAGCGTTGCAGACCAGCAGGGCAGACCGGCGCGGCCGTCCAGGCCAGCATGGCGGACAGTATTAGGACGGCGAACCAGCGCGGCAAATCAGCATGGTGTACCACAGCAGCGTATCGTACTAGAACGGCAGACGTTAGCATGGAACGCGCAGTGCGGCAGACCAGGACGGCAGACTACACGAACGCGGCAGACCAGGACGGCAGACCACTGCAGCACGGCAGATCAGCACTGCAGACCACGGCAGCGGTGCGGCAGACCCCGGGAGGCCCCAACGCGGCCCAAGAGAGGCCCAAGACGGCCCAAGGAGGCGCCAAGATGGCCCAAGAGAGCCCCCCCCAAACATCCCGAGACGCGCCCACACAGTCCAAAGGGTTCAGACGTCTCCAAGATGAGCCGGATAGGAGGAGGCTTCCGAGAGGCCCCGCAGAGGCCCGAAGCCGGCCTCAGACGCTCCTGGTGGCCCCCATCGTGGCCCGACGAGGACCAGGTTCCCGCACGTTTTCCAAGTCCTTCTTCTCGTGCTCCATGTCCCTCTTCTTGCCGCCCTCCTTCGCTTCCTTCGCGTCCCACTCATTGCTGTCCTCGTTGTGCGCCACGCTGTTTTACCATTCTGTCTTTGTCGTAGTCGTCCTCTCCGTCGTCCTGGTCCTCCCACACTTTGTCTTACTCGAGCTCGTCGTCGTGCTCTTCATTCTCGGGAGCCTTGTCCTCTTCGTCCTCGTCCTTGTGCTAGTCTTCCTCGTCGTAGTCCAGCTCGTCCTCCACTTTTTCTCCTCGTCCTCCACGCTGTCCTCCTCCTCCTCACTCGCCTCCTTGGCGCCCGCTTCTCGCTTCTTTTTTCTTTGTTGCCTTGTGAAATGAGTGCACGAATCCTCGCTTCCAAATCTTGTCTGGTCAGGTTGCACAATGTTGCACATCGGGCCGCACATTTGAAAGTCGCAAGCGAGAGCCCGACTTTGAAAAGAAACCGCCCATCCGTGTGACGCGTTGGAATTTTTTAAATGAAAGTGTGGGGCCCAGAGTGCTCCAGCCGCTGGCCAGGACTGATCTGTGAGGGGGCCTGCCGGGTGCACATTGTGAGACCTACGTCGGCGTGTGTTCATCTCTGGATCGGGGCCCCGGTGCCTGTCCAAGGGTGCGCGCACGCGTCGTTGGGTGTAGCACTTCCCCTCCGGCGTGGCCCAGACGCTCCGAAACGCTCCTCCTTACCCGCCGTTTCTTCTTTCCCTCTGCCTCTGCCTCCTTGCGCGTTGCACGGGCTTCGACCAAGTGGTCGCAGCGTCTAACCCCCTTCCCTCCTCCTCGTCATCCTCCTGTTGCTCCTGCGCCTCGCCTGACGTCGGCCTTACAGGTGGCGGGGCGCACGCCTTCATACCGCAGCCGGGGGGCGAGCCGCTGGTGCTCCACTTCGACACACTGAAGATCCCCTCGCAGGCTGGGGGGTGGGTGCGTGAGAGACCTCTCTCCCCCTCCTCGTCCTCATCCTCCCTCGTCGTCGTCGTCGTCGTCGTCGTCGTCGTCGTCGTCGTCCTCTCCTCCTGTGCGCTTCGTGGGGAAGTGCGTGTGAAACCTGGAGGCCGTGATGACCTTGACGCGGCGTGGTGGTGCGGCTGGCTGCTGCTCCTCCTGCTCCTTCTCCCCTTCTTCTTCCTCCTCCTCCTCCGCCTCCTCCTTTCCTTCCAGAGGTTTTTCCCGAGGCGTCTTGCTGCCCTCTGGCTGCCACTGGCACTGCGTGTGGACGTGCTGGGACGCGAAAGTATCTCCGTTGGTGATGGGGGGAGGGGACCCAGAGATATGTTTTTTGAATTGTTCTGTAGTTTCTTTTCCAAGACGGGCCCCCAGACGTCCCGACCCTTCCCCGCAGACATGGAGATAATTAACATTTCTGATGCTTTAAGTAGCTGTTTTCCCAAACCGTGTTTGCACTTAGGGTTTTTTTTCTTTTCTACGGAAGTGGGCGTGTGTGGCGGTCTGGCGACTATGCTGTCGCCGTCGTCGCCCCGTCGCCGCGTCGCCGCCCGTCGTTTGGGACTGTGTGGCGGTCTGGCGGCTATGTTGTCGTCGTCGCTGCCCCGTCGCCGCCTCGATGCCGCCAGTCGTTTGGGCCTGTGTGGCGGTCAGGAGGCTATGTTGTCGCCGTCGCCGCGCCGTCGCCGCCTCGTCGTCGCCCTTTGTCTGGGCCTACATTGTTTGGTACTGTTTTGCATTGCTATGCCTTGCTTTGCACTGTGTGACTTGACATTGCTTGGCATTGCTTTGTGTTGGTTTGCATTGCTTGGCATTGCTATGCAGTACTTTGTATTTCTCTGTCTTGCGTTGCTTGTTTCGTTGCTTTGAATTGTCTTACTTCGATTTGCATAGTTTTGCATTGCTTGCGTTGCATAGCACCGCGTAGACTGCGACATATATAGTGCACCACCTAGATCGCACCATATATATATATATATATACATATGTATATATATATATATTGCATCACATAGATCGCACTACATGTATTGTATTACGTAGATTGCACCACAGATATTGTACCACATAGTTTGCATTACATATATTGCACCACGTAGATCGCACCACATCTATTGCACCACGCAGATCGCACCACAAATGTTGCACCACATAGGTTGTACCTTGTATATTGCACCACATATATTGCATGCACCACGTAGGTTTGTCCACATATGTTGTATTACAAATATTGCTAGACACACTCTGTTTGACGTCCAAGCTGGCTCACATGTTACAAACATGTTGCGCTTTAACCGTGCGGGTGGCGATTGCTGCCATCAAGCAGACCCCTTCTTTAAGATACACGACTCCGCGTGGGCCTGTAAATGTAAAGTTGGACTAGGACCGCGGATGGTCACCCGTTTTATGCTTCAGCTTTGAAATTCGACGTTGATGCGGGGCGCGAGCAGGGCATTGCGCCCGAGCGCGAGGAGCATCAATTTCTGGGAGATCTCGGGGCGCAGTCAGCCCACCCACCACGCCCCTTTCGAATCCGAGCGAAAGGACCCGTGCGCTAGGGCCTGGGGTCGCGGGGTCCCGGGATCGTCCACAGTCCATACCATATGCTTTCAACGGGGTGCCGCAGAATCCCGACATAAAAAACAGTGGCTTGTAACATCCCGCGCCGTTGCAGACATGTACCGCGCAGTCCCGAGCCCCGCATCGTGTCGCCGCGAAGCTTTCGATGCGCCGATGAGGGACCACCGTCGACCCTCTCACCATCATCGCCGATATTTCCCATCGTCGTTGTTGTTCCATTGCCGTGGGCCCCCAGACCAGAGAGTCTTCATTGGTGCGTCGGGCGTCCCCGCAGAGGTCGGGGTCCGTGACAGGTGCGCTGCGTCCCTGGAGGGACTTGGGAGGATCGTCCAGCGCCTCTGCGCTGAACCGGACGCGCGCTATCGCCATTGACGCGTCCACATCAATTCTGGTCCCGGCGACGCAGGCGCCGCTGAGGTTCGCTCGCGAACAGAGGCGTGCTCGAGCAGAAACAGCGCCTGCTCGAGCCAATGGCTACGAAATCTAGCTTTCTGATGCCGGCGAATTCCCAGCGGAGCGCCAAAACATCGTAAGCAGAAGTTTTTTTCCTCGTCTGCAAGGCCAGCTTTGCATCCAGAGCCGCTTTCTGACGGTCCCAGAACCCGAAACGGCCCCCAGGGACCGAAAATGGCGACCCCCCCGTTTCATTACTCTTCAAAGCATTGGCTGTTCCCAGACATCTGACGACCTATCTTCTCCACCCGCGGCTCCAGAGCTCCCGACCCCTTCCCAGGGGCCAGTTTCTCAGACCCCCGACGTCATGATTTTTTCATTGCGTCGACCCCCGAGGTCTGAACCTATTCCCCGGAACCGGTTTTTCATCCCGAGCCGTTTTTTGATGGTCCCGCGGCCCGGTAAGGGCTCCCAGAGGCCGAAAATGGTGAAATACCTCCCGTCGTGATTCTTCCATGATTCGAGGGGGTCTGGGTTTTGCGTCGTGGATTCGTTTCTGACAGTCCCGGGTCGGGGCCCGGGCACGGTCCTTGGAGGCCGACGCCAAGCAACACCGTGCCGCGATGGGACGCCGCGCCTCTCGTCGGACGCCCGGGCCCCTGGCAGGCGGACATGCTGGAGATCTTCAGGGACAGGATCATGGCGAACGGGCGGCTCCTGCGGAAGGACTCCCCCTGCTCCTCCTCCTCCTCCTCCTCCTGCTCCTCCTGCTCCTCCTCCTCCTCCTCCTCCTCCTCCTTCTCCTCCTCCTCTCCTCCTCCTCCTCCTCCTCCCCTCCTCCTCCTCTTCTTCCTCTTCTTCCTCCTCCTCCTCCTCCTCCTCTCCTTCCTCCTCCTGCTCCTCCTCCTCCTCCTCCTGCTCCTCCTCCTCCTCCTCCTCCTCCTGCTCCTCCTGCTCCTCCCCCTCTCCCAAGCGCCCCCAGGCGCTCCCAAGCGCTCCCACAGGCGCTCCCCCCGGCGCTCCCCGGCGCTCCCAGGCGCTGCCCGGCGCTCCCAGGCGCCCTCAGGCGCACCCCCCGTGGCCGCCGTGTGGCGGTCGCCGCGTGGCAGCCGCCGTGTGGCGGCCGCCGTGTGGTGCCCCCGTCTCTCCCCGGGGGGCGGTGGCCCGCCGCCTCCGGGAGCGCGACTGCTCCGTCGCGCGGCCGCTCCGTCGGCCAGCGCAGGTCCCAGACCCCCTCGAGCAGCGACAAAAATCACGACGGGAGGTTTTTCACCATTTTCGGCCCCCGGGGGCCCTTGCCGGGCCGGGAATAGGGCGAGGCCTCGGGGGGTCGACGACATGAAAAAATCATGGCGTCGGGAGTCTGGGGCCCGGGCCTCCCGACGGACCGGTGTCGGGAGCAGACGGGGGTCGGAGGATCGCGCCGCGTCGCCAGTGCATCGGTAAGGTGCGGTGTGGAGCCCGCTTTTTCTCGCAGGAGGAAGAGGTACCCGTACCGCTACCCTTTTCTTCTCGGCTTCCGCTGTTTGGGCCTCCGGGGAGGCCCGCGTAGCCACCGTTGGGCTCGCCTCGAAATTCTGGTCAGAACGCACCGCGGGAGAGGTCCAGAGAGTAGCGGTATCGACATCCTGTGATTTCTTCCCGAATTTTCTGCATCGGCCAAGCATCGGCGAGGCACTAGCGATGTGGCGCGATCCTCCGATCCCATCCAATCGGGCCACATTTGAAAGGCATCTGTCAGACGAGGCGGGGGCGGCGTACTAAAGGGGGGCGAGGGCAATTGGGGTCAGGACAATGTCGTCGTCGAATGGGGAGGGCGGGGAGGAAATTGTCGCTGGTTCCTGGAGGTTTTTTCGCCTCGCCTCTGGGCGTTGCTCTGGGGAGACCAGCTGATTAAGCATAGTCAGACATACCCTTAGACAGTGGGACGTGGAATATTTGTGGCGCGGGCATGCGATGCCTTGAAGTTGTCATCGCCGTCACCTTTCTACGTCGGCCAGAACGCGCAGGACCAGTACTCTCATCCCTGTGGGTCCCGAGTGCCTGGGTCGGGAGGTCCGCCTTCCGAAGTGCCTCCACCTCTCGTCAGAGACATGCTGTCCCGCACGCGTTCAGTCGGAATTTGTCGTTGGTAACCAGACAATGGCCAGCTTGGCAAACGCC